CACGCGTAGGAAACCTGAGTCCATCTGTGAACTATCATCCTGAACACTTTAAGCCGTTTTGGGACCTTAAACTTGCCGATCCTAAATTCAACATATCAGGAGCTATCGACGTCATTTTGAGTGCTGGTGACTACGCCACAATCATGCTGAACGATATCAAGCGTAGCCCCAACACTAATGTCATCGCACAAAATATGCAATTAGGATGGGTTATTTTCGGCAGCCTACCAGAACGAGGTAACTCATCAATGAAGGCCGCGTATGACTGCTATTGCACTAGACTGGAGCTAGACGAACTTCTTCGTCGATTCTGGGAGCAGGAAGAGGTAGCCGTGCAACAAACCTTAACTAAAGATGAGATATTTTGCAACCAGTTCTTTGAATCTACTACGCAACGCACTGAGACAGGTCGGTATGTGGTACGACTCCCGGTCAAAAATGAATCGGGCCTTTCTCAACTTTCATCATCACGAGAGGCTGCACTATCGTTATTAAGTACCATGGAACGCCGTTTAAATCGAGATGTCTCAGTACGCAAACTATACCACGACTTCCATGTCCGAATACTACAAACTTGGTCATATGGAGTTGGTTGGAAACGATATGCTCAACGGACGCGTCAGCTATCTTCCACATCACAGCGTGCTAAAGGACTCAAGCACTACGACCACGTTGCGTGTCGTGTTCAACGCATCAAAGCGAAGTGGGTCTGGGTTGTCGTTGAACGACTGCCTACACACAGGTCCAAAGTTACAGAAGGATCTTGCTTCGGTCGTCTTGAACTGGCGCAAATACCGAATTGCCTTCACAGCCGACATCTAAAAGATGTACAGGCAAATTTTGGTCCATCGGGAAGACGTCGACTTGCAACGAATTGTCTGGCGATTCGGCGATCGAGAGTACCTCAACCTTTCGGTTATTAACGGTTACTTATGGAACCAATTGTGCGCCGTTCCTTGCTATGAAGGTTTTACAAACGCTTGCTAGAGATGAATAACAACAGTTTCCGCACGCCTGTTCCACACTATTGAACGAATTCTATGTAGATGACGTTCTATCTGGTGCTGGAACCATTTTTGAGGCCAATCAACTCAGAGGTGAACTACAACAACTTTTGCTAGCTGGAGGTTTCAAACTCCGAAATTGAACTCCAATTCTACTGATATGCTGCGAGAAATAGATCATGAAGATCATGGGGATAAGGACCCGTATGAGCTTAACACTGAAACCGAGTCGAAGGCCTTAGGCATCGTTTGGATGACACACTCCGACTGCTTCAGCTACAAAATAACGCTTAACCCTGCTAATCGACGATTCACTAGGCGCCAACTGCTTTCAGACGTCGCGAAGTTATTCGACCCGCTGGGCTTCTTGGCTCCAGTACTAATACGAGGAAAGATTTTATTCAATTTGAATCAATCCAAAACGAGTAGGGAATGCTTCGTGCCGAATTAGAGAGCTTAAGCAAACTCAGAGTTCCACGCTGGATACAAACGTCTCACAATGCCACCTCGTTTGAATATCACGCATTCGCAGATGCATCTGCACAAGCATATGCCGCGGTGGTGTACCTAAGGGTGATTTCGGAGCGCGACGCACATGTCACCTTACTTATAGCCAAAACTAAGGTGGCGCCACTCAAAAGGGTTACTATATAACGACTCGAGCTTTGTGCAGCGCTGCTGGCTGCCCAACTCATCAAAAAGGTTCAAGGAGTTCTTAAGCTGCAAACTGTCGACACGTTTTTTTGGTCGGATTCAACCACTGCGCTTGGATGGATTCGGTCAAACCCCGGCAAGCTTAAAGAATTGGTTGCTAATCGAATCACTCAGATACACGAAATCACATCCAGCGACACATGGAGGTATCATGCGCTTTGGTGGACGGGGCCACCGTGGCTACAATCATCTGCTGACAGTTGGCCGCAACTACGCCCACCGGTTCCTCATCTGCTTCCTGAAATGAAAACCATTAAGTTGCTAAACACGCAGACTGCAGTGGCTGAGTCATCAATCCTCGAAAAGTATTCTGATCTTGGTAAGTTACTCGCTGTCACCGCCTGGAGCAGGCGCTTTATTTCCGCCAAACTTGGAAAAGCCCATGCTACAACGTCGCATTGTCTTTGGAGTGAACGCTATGCCGCGCTAAAATCTTGGACGAAGCGAGTACAGCAAGAAGAGTTTGCTCTGGAACTGAAACAGTTACGCGCGGGCAAGAGCATCGACACGAAGAGCAAGCTGGCCAACCTGCACCCCCTCGTCGATCCTGAGGGCATATTACGCGTCGGTGGGCGGCTTAAAAACGCTAACCTATCATTTAAAGAGCGATACCCCATGATTCTACCCAAAAATAGTCACTTAACATTATTACTAATTAAACAGTCAACCCTCAACCACATTCGACGACGATTCTGGGTGATAAACGGCCGTACAGCAGTGAAAGCTGTCATCAGGAAATGTCTGCCATGTTTTCGACAAACTTGTCAACCAAGCACACAACTTATGGGTCAACTACCAAGTCCTCGGTGCAACGTCTCATTGCCATTCGTCCATACCGGAATAGATTACGCAGGTCCGTTCCAAGTGCGCACGACAAAGGGCAGAGGACATCGTGCCTATAAGGGGTACACAGTTGTATTTATTTGCCTCGCTACGAAAGCTTGCCATCTAGAGCTTGTGAGCGATATGACTGCCGAGGCGTTTATAGCTGCTCTAAATCGTTTTGTTGCTACTCGAGGCCTTTGCACAGATGTCTACAGCGATAATGGTACCACATTTGTAGGCGCAAACGCACTTTTGGCCGGCGAACGAGAAGCTTTGAAAGCTCAGCTTCAAGCAGCTGCATCGTACACTTCTCGTCGTGAAATAAACTGGCATTTCATACCACCTGCCGCCCCTAACTTTGGGGGCATCTGGGAGGCTGCGGTGAAAAGCATGAAGGTGCACCTAAAACGAGTAGTTGAACAGGCTACTTTAACTTTTGAGGAGCTGTACACCGTACTAAAACAAATTGAAGCCTGCCTCAATTCACGGCCACTAACCGCGCTCAGTGACGATCCCGACGATCTCACGGCGTTAACTCCGGGGCACTTCTTGGTCGGCAGAGCTCTTACAACCACCCCGGAAGGATATTCGTTTAACGCTAATATGACACATCTCACTAGGTGGAAACAGCTTACGCAGATGTATCATGACTTCTGGGTACGATGGTCGAACGAATATCTTCAAGGACTCCAAGCTAGAAACAAGTGGCGCCAACAAAACCCAAACATCGAAGTTGGGCAGCTTGTCCTTATTCGAGACGAACGTTCACCCCCAACGCAGTGGCCGTTGGGGCGAATATTGGACATCCATAAAGGATCAGATGGCATCGTACGAGTGGTGATCGTCAAAACTAAATCTTCAACGCTCAAACGACCCGTCAACAAACTTTCTATCTTACCAATCGATAAACCACTCGCAGACGGTGGGCGGCCTGAGGCATCATAACTTCGTCCCCACTTAGGACGAGGTGGGCGGAATGTTCAAGAAATCATGGCATTTGGCAAGCCTGTTGGCAGCTGACCAGTTTGACGTATTCTTTGTGCAATTTTCGTGCTTTGTTTTGTGTTATTATTCAACTCTAAGTTTTACAACCAGCGCGCACAGGGGCTCGGACCTACAATAAAGATATAATTTGCAACAAGTATCGAAGTATTCTTCAAATATAGTGTACAATAAACTGCTTAGTACGATTACCAATAAAGTGAACTGAAACCTACATTGGCTTATTCCAGCTTTTAACAGGAGTGCACAAACTTTGAACTTTTCCGATAGGTGGCGCAGGGGTCGATCTATACTAAAAAACCGCATTTATAGTTCGATTTGCTTCAAACCCAGAAT